TCTCGTGCGTATAATCTTCGATATAGAGGGAAAATGTTTAACAAAGAAGTGATAAAATGAGTTTCAAGTGCTGTCCAAGTTTCACGTTGTTGAGAAATTAGCTGGCCGAAAAAAAATTTCCTATTCATATTCCGTTATAATACGCGTCTATAATCGCGTACATGAAGAACGAAAGAAATTAGCAAAGTAACGATATGGGGGGAGGAGGGGGGGGGGAAGCTGCAATTCATTTTAATGAAATAGTAAACTGTGCCATTGTGTATAGCTACACACGTCGAGATAACGCAACAGCACGATGCTCGTTTCGCGTTTATATATGTGCATGTACGTTTCTAAGTTCGTTATAAATCAGCATGCTCGAAAAAAAATGCAATTTTTCCACAGGCAATGACAAATAATTTCGATAAAACTTGCTTAAAACGTTATTTCGTTTCGATAAAAAACAGAGTTTATTTGAAAACAGCTTTCAATAATTGTCATGTAAACTAAAATGACTGCGATATATCGCAAAACGCTGGTCATTTATCTTTGTCAATAACGAAAATAAAGAGAACGACGAATGTTATTTGAAATTGTTATATTACACTAAATAAATCGAGCCTATTGAAGCCAATAACACTCGTGTTACAGATAATGAATTGAAATACTATTCGAAGCTAACATCATTATCTTCAACGCTGAATGAAATTTGTTTAATTTAGCATCAATATGAATTTTCATTTTACACTGCAATTTTTTTTTATCAGAGTTGTCATCTCTATTTCGTTCTATTTAATGATAATTTAATAATCGAAACGCCCGTTTTTATCAAGTTGTTAAATAACAAAGCGTTTGCATACTGTGTTTCACATACATGTGTACGTATTGCAATTTAACGTAACGAATAAATTACAATGACCGCAACTTTTTTTTTTTTTTTTTTTTTCATTCGTCGTGTTAATATTAAAACTCATTCTTTCTTCATACGAACACAAACAGAACGTTGCACAAGACATTCAGATAATAACGCAACGGAATTATCCAGAAGAATAAAGCTTGTACGCGTGTATAACAATTTCTCAAACTGAAATTCCATAGTGATATTTAAAGTTTATCTTTGTATATAGAGAATGATCAATTTTTATACACTTTATACTGCGCTTCGATTTTATATTGCAAGTTACATACACGCAATTAAAATTGATTTTCAAATTCAATGAAGTGATAAAAATTCAATAAGTGGATTGATAGAGTGAGAAGAAATGATTATCCTCGGCTGTAAAAATATATATATAAATGACATAACAATTGAAGAAATTTTCGAGAAGGAATAAAAAAATTGAGAAGAGAAATTTATTACTCGAGTGAATGATATTTCCAGTGGAAAGTTTTTCTACTGCACACTGTCCGTGCGATTCGTTCTTAATTCTTACTCGATTATCGATCGGCAAATATTTAAACTGATAATCCACGTTCCTCCTGCTTATGCGACAATTAAACATCACGAACTGGTTGTATTAAAAGTTTCGAACAATTACTCATCCGTCTTTTCGTTACAATAATGAAGGGCAAATGCAAGTAACGTAATTTCCAATTAATATATGACGATTAATGCGCGCGAGTTTCCTTCGTTTGAATTCTTCAAATTGTGAGCAAAGCTTGAAAGAATTACTGTAGGGAAAGATTTAGCCGAAATATTTCTCATTTCTCTGGGATCTGGACGAACGCTTAAATGCCTTAAATGCCTTATTGTACGTTCGAACAAAATGTGCATGCAAATAAAACTAAAAATAACTTAGGATGCTAATGAGAAAAAGAGAGATAACTAAAAGACTGGACAGAATGCTTCAGCCAATGTTCGCAAGCAGATAACTGAGTAATAAATTTAATTCCAAAAAAATCATTATTTTTAGCAGATAATTTATTTTATTTTCTGGATAGAGTAGTAACGAACAATAATATTCTTCATGCGACATGCGATAAAAATTTTAAACTAAATTCACGTTTGTTAAAATTACAGAAGACGCGTAATTATAAACGCTGGGACAAGTATATATATATAT